CCCCAAAACCCCAAAACCCCAAAACCCCAAAACCCCAGTACAACTCTCAAAATTGTTATTTATGAATAGTATAAAATTCCAAAAATATTTCTGAATAGTGAAGATAAGTGGGTGGTCAGGATCAAGGACTGGGATTCTTGGGGTGGAAGTAGAGGGGTTGGGAAAAGTTTGGAGGAAGAGAGGGTTGGAGGGAGAAGTTGGGGATTGAGGGGGTTAGTAAAGGGGATTTGTGGTATTGTGATTTAGGTGTTGTTTTTATGGATATTTTTAGTGTTGGATGAGGTTTGACTGCTTTGTTTTTTGAGCAAATTTTTTCTAAGTAAAAATATACTGGTAAGATTTAATTAAAGAGATACTATAGAATAAATTATTGAAGCTCTACTTCGTATTAAAACTTTCAAATTTTTCAAAAAAAAATTATTTTTCTTTAATCCCTAATTTATCTTTCATGTAAATATAGCATAACCTACCTCACCTTCACAGAAAATCTTGTCAAAAATTCTTACACTCACCTCCCAACCCCAATAAATCCTACATATTTTACCCAATTTCAACACACCATAAAATAACCCCCAAAGTCAACCCAAAACCACCCTCTGCCGCTCCTTACCCATACTTCCCTCTCCTTCCCACTCACAATCCCAGTAACCCCAGATTCCTTCCACGTCACATAAAAACTTAAACTGAAGACCAAACTTGAAATTTCAGTTATGAACAACTGGAAGTTTATAGAGGAAGTAGCGCATGAAAGGGAATTTGAACAATCAGGAGGGAAATAAGCAACGAACAGGGAAGATTAAAGGGGTAGGGAAGGGATTAAGGCGCTGAGTTGGGGCTGTGGGTGTGTTTAGTAAGTATCTCGACTTTTTGTATTGATACATCTGTTTTGGAATCATAAAAATGCTTTGGAATCCAACTAACTTTGAAACTTCTGAAATAAAGTAGTTAATACAGATTATTAACTGAAAATGCGATGTTATTAGCTCTAAATTAAGAGGATCAGGCTTGATGAATTACTCAGATTGAGTCTAAAATTTGTAAAAACTTATCCCAGCTTTCCGAAAATTGCAAAAAGAGATACTAGTAAAATGAAGCCTGTGGTAATCATCTCAGGATCAGATGACGTTAGTAAAACTAACTTAATTATGGATTATAATGTTTATAGGGAAGTTATAGGACAAATTTATTTAGCACTTCGGATATCCCTCATAGTCACATCTTTTTGTACAAAGCTCTGATCTCTCTGTACATTCAAAGTTGCTACTTTATGACTGGTTTTATTCAAAGCTTTAGTTGGTCTAGAGATTTTGTTCTTTTTGAAGGCCTTATCATCTTTAGGCTCACAGCTGTCAAGGTTCCTAATCTTTATCGCTTTTTGTAAAAGAAAGCTTATGTCACTCTTAAGCTCAGAGTCTTTTGATGAATTAATTGGATGAGATACTTTTGAGGAGGTTTTCTTATTTTTAATAAATCATAATTTATTAGATTCTCAAGTATCTCCCTTCAGTCAAACCTTGCATGGAAATGTAAATCTATTGACAGGATAAATCCTAGTACATTTTCCAAATAGATTCCTCGACATATTCCTGATTAGACCTTTAGCTACTCGGACATCTCCAGCAACTACATCTTCATTTAGCAAATCATAAGACAAATTTTCATCTTGAAACTCCATGTTCCTTAAAAATTATAATAATCTCAATTTTCTTCTGCATAGTTGGGGTTTTGGGGTTTTGGGGTTTTGGGGTTTTGGGG